AACAGTAGATAGAAAGACACAAAGAAAGTACAAAAAAAAAAAAAAAGGAGAGAAGAGCAGTGCTTCTCGACCTCTAATGTGTATACACATTACTTGGGAAATTGCGAATGGCAGATTGTGATTATGTCTGGAGTAGGACCTGAGAGTCTGCATTTCCAACAACCTTCCAGGAGCTGCTGAAGCTGCAAGTCCTCAGACCAGACCTGGAGTAGAAGGGGGCAGGAGGGTAGCAGCAGTCCACACCCTCTCCTTCAATCCCCACATTTCTCCTCATTCACTGTTGTTGCTAATGTTGTTACTTTTACTGCATTGATGCCTGTTGGCTTCTGAATGTTTATCGCCTGATTTAGAATATGGTCTCTTGGATGAAATAAGTAAAGAGGATGCCATTTAAAAAAAAAAAAAAAACCTAGGAGTTGCAATTTAATGCACACAGGTGATACACAACATCAGTAGCATGTTTCACCACTGAAGCATATAATCAGTTGACTTTCAGGTACATATGGACAGGCAGCTTAAATATGCTAAGTAAAGAGCAGTGAGAGATCACAGTGGAGGATGCTGTGGGAGAGGAGAGGGGCACAATAACTGAACAACATAAACACAGAGAAAAAGAAAGCAGAGAACAGTTGTTTTAGATGTCATGGGCATCCATGCTCAAATCTGTTTCTGATATAGGTATCCAGTTTCAATTACAAATAGATGTTCAGAGAAATATTCAGCCTGCAACACTACCAACAGTGTGAGAATTTCAGAAAACTAACAGAAAAAAAAAGTGGTGGTTTTTAATGTGGTTCTTTATTGTGGGTTTGATTGTCACTAATAGCCAGCAGATGGGATAGATACATGAAGGAGAAACAAAGCTCATAGAAGTTTTCTAGCCAAAATAAGCAGTTATACTCTAAATTGCACCATAACTTTGAGAATGGCAAAATGTTATTGGGAAAAGTTTTTCAGAAAACAAAATTATTTTTAAAGGTAGGTTTCTTTATTAACAGTAATTGTTCCAAATCTCTATTGGGGTAATTTTTTATTGTATTTTCAAATAAAGATTCCATTTTATTGCAAAGCATAATTCCTCCAGTTCTAAACTCCTTGTATTGAGTGGAAGGCTTTGAACAGCCAGTTTTTGCTAAAAAGCAAAACAAAACAAACAAAAAACTCTCAAAAGATTGCAATAATATGGCTGGCTATCCAAACTGTAAACCTATGATCCCTAAAGCTTAAAAACCACCACCTATGAAGGTCTCTGGCTGTGAATGGATGTGTTCAGTAAACAGTTTCACTGAACACTGATTGTTAAAATCATAAATAAGTTCTGCAGATCTAATGCACAGCCTAGCAATTACAGTCAACAATACTATATTATAAACTTCAAAGCTGCTAAGAGACCAGGTCTAAATTGTTTTCACCACAAAAAAGAAATGATAATGGTGTGACATGATAAAGGTCTTAACTAATGCTATGATGGTAATCATATTGCAATACATAAATGTATCAAATCAACACATATATACCTTAAACGTACATAAAATTACATATCAATTATCTCTCAATTAAAAACAAAAACTCCCCAAAGCTGATCCTGAAAGAAAAAATTAATCACAAAATAAACCCCTGCAATATAATCCAACAGTTGTCTGAATGCAACATGATTGATCGCAGGGGTTGTTAAATGTGATTTGGAGTTTTCCTCTAATATGAAAGTATGAGGTAACAACATGGACATTCTGTTTTTAACTCAGGTTCAAAATGTGAAGAATTCCAACACAACTTTTTCTCGAAAATTTATAGCTAATAAATGCAATTATATGTAATTTAAGTATAGTTCTTGAAGATTCTTTTATTTGATACCATGGATATTAGTACAACAAACAATGCAACATGAATTATAATTTTGGCATAATCTAATATCTATTATATTGGCTTTATATTATTTAAATTTTTATTGACATCTGCTTAGCTTGAAGGAGGTAATGCTTCTTCTAAAGTGATCTGGGTAGTACACTTAATATTTGTATTGATTGCTAATATGGATCTTATTTAACTATTTGAAAGCTATTAACTTCATACACAAATTAAAAGCACTTAATTATTATTTAATATACTGTCATATTCTTGCTGTAATATAATTATAGTTTCACATCACTTTAAAGAACTTCAACATATAAGACAAATGAAATATTTATTTCAAGATAAATTTAGATTATTTATATGTATTTGAAAAATGATACTCAGATAATAAGGATAAATTTGAGGACATGACTAATTTCTGATACATTACTCTTCTCATATTGAGTCCTTATGTGATCACACAATTACTGATCACACACAGATCATATTTGTCAGAAATGATGCGAAAGCAGACCATCATTTGAGTCTTCCAAAGGCCAAAGCCAAACAGAAGACTCTCATTTGAATTCTCAGTCCAGAATCCAAACAGGATGCATTCTTAGTACCTTATACAATAATCTCACAATTCCCTGTCTCAGTGGATTCCACATCCTGTCTGTGCTATCCAAAATGCTGTATCTCCCCATGGTCTCCACAGGATACAGCGGGTACACTCAAATTAAGATAACACCTTATTTGCAAAGGGACTAATTACAAAGATGTGGACAAGGAATAAGGGAACAATAAGGGAAAGTTCAGGGACCAGACGAAGAGCAGAAGAGCAGTTGCTACTTGTTGTCTCCTCAATGGGAGAAGAGGCTATCGAAATCCAGAAGAGATGCATGGATGAGTTGCCTGAAGGGAAACAGTGGCATTAGGGCAGGACCCGGTCTCAAAGAGTAAGTCAAGGAATAAATATTCAGACTCCCTTCTCTTCTGTCTCATGAAAGGACTCCTTATTGGTCAATCCCAACTGACTAAAATACAAGTCAGTTTCTGGGACAAGAGAAGGGTACAGAACTGTAGAGGGGATCTGAGGAAGTAAGTGAAAGAAAGCAACATAAATCCTCAAGGGAATATAAAAAGTATGCTTTGATTTTTTTTCAAACCTGAAATTGCCTTTCTAATCCTTGCAATTATCAGGAAAACAACAATGCAAAATCTAAATGTTAGAGACAACCTAAATCCTCATATAATTCTTGTCTTGCTAGGAAGACACTACAGTGTTAGATATATCCACAGAAGGGTAAATATCATTATTAAAAGGATGGATTGATTTTTGTATTTGAAAAAAATTAAGAATAAAATCTTTTAAATTTGAAGAAAATCAGTATAACATAAGCATACTGAATAAAATTGTAAAGACTAAGAATAGGAAGGCAATTACACACACACATACACACATATACACACTTGAACTGGGAACTTTTGGAAGCATAAACGGTGACATTTTAAAGCAAATGAAACTGCTCTATTCACTATTCTAGTTGAATTAACTGTCCATTTTATTTAGGACTCATATTTAAGCACCACCACAACCCCTGTTATACATCTTGTTGTGTAAATCTTTCTAAATGACTAATTACAGTTTCTGAGGTGGTGACATGTTGTTACACTGAAGACCCTGCATTGCTCTTTGACAGTCTTGATCCTTGCAGCACCTCAGAATCAACCTTATGCATCCTAAACCTTGGAGACAGACAAATGAAGTCGTATAGGAAAATGAGATAAACCTTTCCTGACCATTTAAGATACAGTATGCATTTTGAACTGTGGTCTACTGTGCGCATACAATTCTACCATTACACGTTTCCTTATAAGTAGCAAGTTCATGCTAAGAGAGATTCCTCCCCTTGGAACACTGACAGGTCTTGGAAGACCCTCAACAATGGGGACATATCAAGAATAAATCAGGCACGGAGTAGAGCCGGTCGCCATGTCCGCGGGGAGCGCGGCACATCCTGGGGCCGGCGGGCGCCGCAGCAAATGGGACCAGCCAGCTCCAGCCCCCCTTCTCTTTCTCCCACCGTCGGCCCCAGGTGGGGAGGTTCCCAGCAGTGGGGGAAGTCCTGGGGGCTCCGCGGCTGCTCCCTCTGGCGCCTTGGATGCCGCTGCTGCCGTGGCTGCCAAGATCAATGCCATGCTCATGGCCAAAGGGAAGCTGAAACCAACTCAGAACGCTGCTGAGAAGCTTCAGGCTGCTGGCAAAGGCCTAACTAGCAGTAAAAGCAAGGATGACCTGGTGGTAGCTGAGGTCGAGATCAACGATGTGCCTCTCACGTGCAGGAACCTGCTGACTCGAGGGCAGACTCAGGACGAGATCAGCCGACTTAGTGGGGCTGCGGTGTCAACTCGAAGGAGATTCATGACCGCTGAGGAGAAGGCCAAAGTAGGACTGGGGGATCGTCCGTTATACCTTCATGTTCAGGGCCAGACACGGGAATTAGTGGACAGAGCAGTAAACCGGATCAAAGAAATTATCACCAATGGGGTGGTCAAAGCTGCCACGGGGACGAGTCCGACTTTCAATGGTGCGACAGTCACTGTGTATCACCAGCCGGCGCCCATTGCACAGGTATCTCCAGCCGTTAGCCAGAAGCCTCCCTTCCAGTCAGGGATGCATTATGTTCAAGACAAATTATTTGTGGGTCTAGAGCATGCTGTGCCCACATTTAATGTCAAGGAGAAAGTAGAAGGTCCAGGCTGCTCCTATTTGCAGCACATTCAGATTGAAACGGGTGCCAAAGTCTTCCTCAGAGGCAAAGGTTCAGGTTGCATTGAGCCAGCATCTGGCCGAGAAGCTTTTGAACCTATGTATATTTACATTAGTCATCCCAAACCAGAAGGCCTGGCCGCTGCCAAGAAACTCTGGGAGAATCTCTTGCAAACAGTTCATGCTGAATATTCTAGATTTGTGAATCAGATTAATACTGCTGTACCTTTACCAGGCTATACACAACCCTCTGCTATAAGTAGTGTCCCTCCTCAGCCACCATATTATCCATCCAATGGCTATCAGTCTGGTTACCCTGTTGTTCCCCCCCCCCGGAAGCCAGTTCAGCCTCCCTACGGAGCACCAAGCATAGTGCCCCCAGCTGTTTCTTTGGCACCTGGAGTCTTGCCAGCATTACCTACTGGAGTCCCACCTGTGCCGACACAGTACCCACTGACGCAAGTGCAGCCTCCGGCCGGCACTGGGCAGACTCCGATGAGTGGGCCTTTTCTTCCTGCTGCTCCTGTCAGAACTGCCTTGCCTGCCGGCCCCCAGCCCCAGCCCCCACCCCCGCCCCCGCCCCCACTCCCAGCTCAACCCCAGGCACAGAAGAGGCGATTCACAGAAGAGCTGCCAGATGAACAAGAATCTGGACTTCTTGGATACCAGGTTAAATAAAATACCCTTACTTTCCTCATCTCATCTTAACTATATTCTCCCTTTAAAGAAAGATAAATGCACACCTATATTAACCATTCTCCCAATACTAGATTTTTCTTTTCTGGAATCCATTTAGATTAAGTTTTTTTCCCTTGGGGGATTAGTTTAAAGCAAGAGTGACTCCCTTTGGGTGGGCTGGTGTTTGGGATCAGTATAAGAAAATACAAAGCTCCACGTGGAGAGAGGTCGAGAGGTCTATGACTCGTACCTAGAAGGAGTTCTGTAGAATTCCGCACTTCCTCTTATTCATACAGCACTCCTGAAAGCCTCAGATAGTTCTCACTTTTGTTCTACCTGCAGTATATGGTCTGTATGGTCTGTACTTTAACCTTGGCTCTCAATTTACTGTTCTTTTTCTGCGTAAAAGAGAGCAGTTACTTTCTCCAGTCCCCACCACCCACAACAAAAGATGGGCAAAAATGTAGTGATTCTGTGCATACACAGTATACAAGTAGGCATTCAAGTAAAGAGTTTTTTAAAATATTTAAATGTGAAGTTTTAAAATAAATAAATGTGTAGTTTTGGTGCCATTTTGTTTTATCAGGAGAAGCACCTTTACTTTTTGCCAGAGCCCTTCAAATGTTCTTTGAAGCAAACTGAAGCGTTTTTATAGTTTATAAGAAGATAGTTGAAAACAGATACACGTAGCATGACCAAGTCCTACAGAGAAAGATCACATCTCCTTCAGCTGTGGTTATGTTCCAAATCCCAGAGGGCTATGTAGTGAGCTTACTGCAACTGACCAGAGAGGCGAGGCACTTGACAGTTACATTAAGGAGCTAAAGTCAATGCAGCAGTTGTAGATTTGCTAATGCCACTGTATTTTTCTGCTCATAGCATGGACCCATTCATATGACTAATTTAGGTACAGGCTTCTCCAGTCAGAATGAGATTGAAGGTGCAGGATCGAAGCCGGCAAGTTCCTCAGGCAAAGAGCGAGAGAGGGACAGGCAGTTGATGCCTCCACCAGCCTTCTCAGTGACTGGAATGAAAGCAGAGTCTGATGACAGGAATGGGTCTGGGGCCGGAGCAGGGGGCCACGATTATCCAGTCAAGATGAAAACTGCAGAGAAGGGATTCGGGTTGGTGGCTTATGCTGCAGATTCATCTGATGAAGAGGAGGAGCACGGGGGTCATAAAAATGTTTTGCCAAAAGAACTTTTTTGTATCAAATATTGATGTGTGAAAGAAGGAGCTAGTCTGCTGAACCAGGAGTAGTTTGAGATACTGAACTGTCATTTTTGCACATTTGAATACTTTGCAGGCTGGCTTTGTATAATAAACATATTCTCTGGTTTCCTATATGTTGTAAATATTTAGACCATAATTTCATTATAAATAAATGTATAAATATTCAAAAAAAAAGAATAAATCAGGCACTTTAAACAATCACAAAGGTTCAAGGGTAAACTAACAACTAGAGTACAGTTGAACAAAAAGTTTCACCACCTACACAAGGCCACTCCTTTAAGACTGAGAGACATAGACTTTTTGTCTAACACATAGAAACAAATACAGAGAGTCAAGCAAAATAAGGTTACAAAGGAATATGTTCCATATGAAAGAACAAGACAAACCTCAAGAAAAATATCTTAATGATATAGATAATACTAATTTATTTGATAAAGAATTCAGAGTAATGGTCATAAAGATGCTCACCAAACTTGGGAGAACAATGGATGAACACAGAGAGAATTTCAACAAAGACATAGAAAATATAAGAAAGTACCAAACAGAAGTAACAGGACCAAAGAATATAATAACTGAACTAAAAAATACACTAGAGGGGGCACCTGGGTGGGTCAGTTGGTTGTGTCTGCCTTTAGCTCAGGTCATGATCCCAGTGTCCTGGGATCAAGCCCTGCATGGGGATCCCTGCTCAGTGGGGAGTCTGTTTCCTCCCTCTCCCCCTACCCTCTTCCCTGCTCACTCTCTCTCTCAAATAAAAAAAATAAATAAATAAATAAAAAACTTTAAAAAATACACTAGAGGGATTCACCAGCAGACTAGATGACAAAGAAGAAAAAAATCAGTAAACTGTAAGACACAGCAATGGAAGTGACCCAGAGAGAGCAAGAAAAAAAAAATTTAAATGAAGATATCTTAAGGGACCAATAGGACAATATCAAGCAGAATAACATTCACATTATGTGGGTCCCAGAAGGAGAAGTGAGAGAAAGGGGCAGAAAATTTATTTGAAGAAATAATGGCTGAAAACTCCCCTAACCTAAGAAAGAAAACAGACATCTAGATCCAAGAAGCCCAGAGAGTTCCAAATAAGATCAACCCAAAGAGATCCATACCAAATCACAATATAATTAAAATGTCAAAACTTAAAGATAAAAAGAGAACCTTAAAGGCAGCAAGTAGAAAAAGGAATTGTTATATACAAGAGGAACTCCATAAGGCTACCAACAGATTTCTTAAAATAAATTTTGCAGATCAGAATGGGAAGGCATGACATATTCCAAAGGCTGAAAGGAAAAAACTCCAACCAAGAATACACTACCCAGCAAGGTTATTATTCAGAATCAGAGGAAAGATAAAGAGTTTTCTAGACAAGGAAAAGCTAAAGGAGCTCATCACTGCCAAATTAATCTTACAAGAGATATCGAAGGGACGTCTTTAAGCTGAAAAGACATTGCACTAATGGATAACAAGGAAACATATGAGAGTAAAAATCTTACTGGAAAAGGTAAATATATAGTAAAAGTAGTACATTAATCACTTATAAAGCTACTATGAAGGTTAAAATACAAAAGTAGTAAAATTAATACAATAATTAGTTAAGAAATACATAAAAAAAGATAGAAAATGTGATATCAAAACAAAATGTGGAAGGAGAATAAAAAGGTAGAGTTTTGGAACATGTTGAAATTTAAGTTGCTATCACTTGAAATAAACTGTTCTATAATACATAGGATTATATATGTGAACCTCATAATAACCACAAAACAAAAACTTATAGGGGCACCTGGGTGGCTCAGATGGTTGAGCATCTGCCTTCGGTTCAGGTCATGATCCCAGGGTCCTGGGATCGAGCCACACATCAGGCTCCTGGCTCAGTGGGGAGCCTGCTTCTCCCTCTGCCTCTCTCCCTGCTCATGCTCTCTCTCTCTCTCTCTGTATCTCTGTGTCTCAAATGAATAAATAAAATCTTAAAAAAAAAAACTTACAGTAAATACACAAAAGAAAATGAAAACAAGAAGAATCCAAATATAACCATAAAGGAAATTATCAAACCACAAGGTAGGAGATAAAGAGAAGCAAGGAACAGAGAGGAACTACAAAAACAGCCAGAAAACCATGAACAAAATGACAACAAGTACATACCTAACTATCAATAATTACTTTAAATGTAAATAGACTCCCAAAAGATAGAATGGGTGAATGGATTTAAAAAAAAAAGACACATTTCACATCTATATACTGACTAAATTTAAGAAACTCACTTCAGAAGTAAGGACACACACAGACTCAAAGTGAAGAGATGAGAAAAGATATTACATGCAAACAGAAACAAAAAGAAAGCTGGGGTACCTATATTAGACAAAGTAGACTTTAAAAAGGACTGTAGAGGGGTGCCTGGCTGGCTCATTCAGAGCATTGTATGACTCTTGACCTCAGGGCTGTGAGTTTGAGGCCCACGTTGGGTATAGGGATTACTTAAAAAGAAAATCTTTAGGGCGCCTGGGTGGCTCAGTCGTTAAGCATCTGCCTTCGGCTCAGGTCATGATCCCAGGGTCCTGGGATCGAGCCCCACATCCGGCTCCCTGCTCAGCGGGAAGCCTGCTTCTCCCTCTCCCATGCTCCCTGCTTGTGCTCCCTCTCTTGCTGTCTCTCTCTCTGTTAAAAAAAAAAAATAAAAAATCTTAAAAAAAAAAAAGAAAATCTTTGAACATGACTGTAGAGGTGGATAAGACAAAGAAGGGCACTACATAATGAAAAAGGGTTCCATTCAGCAAGAAGTTATAACATATATTTATATCTCCAACATAGAAGCAGGCAAATATTAACAGACCTAAGGGGAGAAACTGACAGCAATACAATAATAGGGTATTTTAAGACCCCACTTACATCAATGGATAGATCATCCAAATAGAAAATAAGAAACATCAGCCTTAAATTACACATTAGATGAGACGGACTTCATAGATATAGACAGAAGCAGAATACACATTCTTCTCAAGTGCACACAGAACATTCTCCAGACTAGATCACATGTTAGGCCACAAAACAAGTCCCAATAAATTCAAGCCTGAAAACATATCAAGCATCTTTTCCAAACATGATGGCATGAAACTAGAATCAATTACAAGAAGAAAACTTAAAAAACTACAAACACATGGAAATTAAAAATGTTAGTTAACAACTAATGGGTCATAGAAGAAATCAAAGAAAAAATATAAAAATATCTAAAGACAAATGAAAAGTGTAAATACAATACAGCAAAATCTATGGGATGCAGCAAAAAATGATCCTAAAAGTGAAATTCATAGCAATATAGGCCTACCTCAGGAAATAAGAGAAATCTTAAACAATTTAACTTTATACCTAAAGGAACTAGAAAAAAAAGAAAAAATGAAGCCCAAATTTAGTAGAAGGAAGGAAATAATAAAGATCAGAGTGAAAATAAAGAAAATATAGACTAAAAAGAGAATAGAAAAGATGAATGAAACTAAGAGTTGATTCTCTGAAGACATAAACAAAATAGACAAACCTTTGGCTAGAATTACCAAGAAAAAAGAGAAGGCTCAAATACATAAAACCAGAAATGAAAGAGAAGCTACAAATTATACCACAGAAATACAAAAGAACGTAAGAGACTACTATGAACAGTTACATGCCAATAAATTTGACAACCTAGAAGAAATGGATAAATTCCTAGAAATTTACAATGTTCTAAAACTAAATCAAGAGGAAACAGAAAATCTGAATAGACCTACTACTAGTAAGGAGATTAAATCAATAATCAAAAACCTCCCAACAAACAGAAGTCCCGAACCAGACAGCTTCACTGGTGAATCTGCCAAACACTCAAAGACTTAACACCTATCCTTCTCAGGGTCTTCCACAAATTGAAGAGGAGGGAATGCTTCCAAATACATTTTATAAGGTTATCATTGTCCTAATACCAAGACTAAACAAGGCTACCACAAAAAAGAAAATTACAGGCCAGTCAGTATCCCTAAGGAATGCAGATGCAGAAAATGTCAATAAAATATTATTAAACTCAATTCAACAATACAAAGAATCTCACACCATGATCAAGTGTAATTTATTCCATGGATGCAAGGATGGTTCAACATCCTTGAAAATCAATCAATGTGATACAACACAATAACAAAATAAAATATTAAAATCATATGATTGTTTAATAGATACAAAAGAGGCATTTGACAAAATTCAACATCAATTTACCCAGTCTCAACAAATTGGGAAAAAAGGGAACATATCTCAATATAATAAAGGCCATATATGACAAACTTACAGCTAATCATACTTAACAGTGAAAAGATGAAAGCTTTTCTTCTAAGATCAGGAAAAAGACAAGGATGCCCATCCTCCCCAATTTTATTCAACACAGTACTGGAAGTTCTAGGCATAGGAACTAGGCAAGAAAAAGAAATAAAAAGCATACAAATAGGAAAGAGAGAATTAAAACCGTCACTATTTGTAGATGACATGATACTACATGTAGAAAACACTAAAGACTCCACCAAAAACTATTAGGACTAATAAACGAATTTAGTAAACTTGCAAAATATCTAATATAAAGAAATCTGTTGCATTTCTATACAGTATCAACAAACTTCTCAGAAAGAGAAGTCAAGAAAACAATTCCATTTACAATTTCAACAAAAATAATAACATACCTAGGAATAAATTTAACAAGGAAGTTAAAAGTCTATACATTGAACACTCTAAGACACTGATGAAAGAAACTGAAGAAGATAT